AGTCAGTCCATCGATCAATCATTCGGTCAGTGAACAGATAAATGCATGATTAAGAAAAATGCCACATAGTTAGTGGCACGATGTAGCAACTCCGAAAAAATGGTCCGGAATAGTCTCATCAGGCTTCACATCCATGACCCTCTGCACACCGGCTGGACTCCCGACCAGCGAGCAACAGGCGACGTATTTCCTTTGGCTCGCGGTTCATGCACGCTATATTAACTGAAAAAAGATATACAGGTTGCAGTCCTAGTAAGATTGAGAACATTCAATATCTTACCGTAAATGCTTTTCTTTAGGAAATTGAGAAAGCAAAGCATCATACTCAATGCATTTGGGCCTTCCTGACTCGCCATTTATGAGAAGACACTCCAGTAGGTTCTTTAACTCATCGTCTCCATGAAATGTTAGTTGGTGAAGAACGGCAAGGGATGCAATCATTGTGGAAGTAATCAGTCTTTTAGTGTGAGAATCCTCGTCATCAGTATGAACTCGAAGTATTCGAATATTCCGGTTTAGTTGCGGAAAAAGGTATTCATGTAGTACCTTTTAGAATAATGATGAAAACGAGAACAACAAAAAATACATTTTTCAAAATGTACGACTATTATTACTTTATAAGCTCTTAGCATCTATTCAGTTACAGTATATACCAGAGGTTTTAATTTCAATGGAGGAGCGTCTACATGGGGTTATCTGATAACTGACAAAAGGCAACGACTGAAAAAGTACAAATAAGACCTGACTTTTGAATCTTCTGCCCCCATCCAGATCCTCAAGTAGTTATGAGCTCTTAAGACAGTTCAACGCACCAGGTGAACTTTTAAAATATTTTTTTCGCTCTGCCGTCAGGGTTGCAGGGCGCTGGCTCAGTATGCAAAGATGTCTCGATGCCCTTGACTTTTTACCGGTGACGGCTTCATTATAATAGATGTAGTTGTGTGATTATAGGGTTTTCGTGCAACAAGGGTATACAAATGTTTCTTGCATTTTCAGTACTGGTCAGGTTAAAGGTCTATCCCTTTACCTTACCGATTAATATACCTATTGATAGTTGTCAGTTTCAACCTGATTTTTCTGTCCTTTGTTATTACCATTTTAAATGGCAACAATGTATCACAGTCCTTCGAATGAAAAATGAAGTCAATGATATGATATTTAACTTACGCGAAAGGATCTCCTCGAATTCTTGATTCTGTAGAGCAAACACTAAACGTAACAACCTAAACTATGAGTTTTCGTGTACAAACCTCCAGGATATTGAAGCCGTATGGAACTCTAAGACGAAAAAGACCTCCGTTCTCGACCTCAGCTTTTGACATGCAGTGGACAACATTGTTGATTTTACTCAAGGCGTCATGCGCATTCATCCCTCCCTGTTTTAATGAAATGCTCTCCCAGTCGGGAAGCATAGCTGTCATGGCCAATCGTCGGCCTTCAGCAGGNCTCGACCTCAGCTTTTGACATGCAGTGGACAACATTGTTGATTTTACTCAAGGCGTCATGCGCATTCATCCCTCCCTGTTTTAATGAAATGCTCTCCCAGTCGGGAAGCATAGCTGTCATGGCCAATCGTCGGCCTTCAGCAGGATCGTTTTCGTTGTGAGGGAAGAGGCTGCGAATGGATTCCCATAATCCAGGTTGACTGAAGATTGCATCGTCATATTGATGCCACGTGCCTACGTGTATTTAAGAGAAACGATATTAATAGTTCAATAATTAATCGCCTGGGAATTAACCAGTCACTCAATCAAGCAACCAAGCAAGGAATCAATCAATAAATCTATCCATCAATCATGCTATCAAACAGTCATTTACTGAGACACTGAGTCAGTCATTCAGTCAGTCATTCTCCAACTATTCTTAGCCTATTAATTCCTTGCGTATTTTAATGGAGATTGCAGCGGTCCTCTCTCACTACCATTGTTGCCGGCCAATAAAGAAAACAATACTGGCATAGCGGAATCTTGAGGAAAGTACTGTTTTGATGCAGTCATCGTAGTCAGCTGAAGTTTCATTATCAATAACATCATTTCTGAACAAATCAAAGCCGTAAAACAAAGGCATCAAAAAGAAAGAGAAAGAGTTTCCCTTATTCTTTCTCACCATTGACTTTTATTGAACTCTCAGGGATGCGAAGGCATCGGTTGACATGTTTACCAGTAACGACAGGCCTGAAACCAATAAGACACTCCCAGAGGTCCTTGTCTTTTGCAGTTCGTCGTTGGTGTGGTACAACAACGTACTTATACGCAATCGTTCGGGAGGCTTCTCGCAACGTTAGTTTGGCTTTACCTTCCAGTAAGTAGTTTCCACCATGCAGTTCCCTGAAATTTACAAACAAAGTTCAAGGTCCTAGTCGATTTGTCCATGAAAGTATGGCTTAAAACGAACGCTACGTGTTGAAATGCGTAGCACTCTTTCATGCAGTAATTAAAGGTGACTGGAAACAGTTTTCATAAGATCTTCTTAGGTGGATCAATACTAATATTCATTTTCAGCTCACACTACAACAATGCCATCAAAACAAATGTCCCATGCCCCAGTGTAAAGAGTAAATAAAGCATTGCTGTTGTTGTTGTTCCCATTGCTGAATAAGATATGACCATTTTTTTGATATTACAAACTACCATAGTAATATGCTGGGCGACCCTGATTTTTTACTATCGAATGGTAATCCAAATGGCAAGATTCAACTTTCATTCATTCATTCTGTTTATTTTGCCTTTTTACTTAATGTACAGTATTGATAAATAATTTAATGCGAGGCGAGGTGACCCCTAGAAACCATCAGGCTTTTAGTTGAGACCACCTCGTACGTAACAATACGGTTACATAAATAGTGCAACAGTGTGCGGCTTTGCC